CAGTGAAAACTGGTAAAAAAGGGATCTCTTGTTGGGGCTGAAGGAATCAACCAAAACAGAAGGGGAAAAAGGTGCCTCTGAACAACTGGGGATTTGCAAGGGAATCACCTTTAAACCGACCATCAGGTACTGGAATCACACCTAGGTACAAAGGTAAAGGGCATTTTCTGCTGTTTAACCCACCGATCATTCTCAAAGGCGTTCCATTAGAAGAATAACATCCCCGCCAAACAGGCGCCACTGATGACTAATGGCTTCAGCGACGCAGGGGCTACTGCAGCTTTGCGCCAGTCCGGTAGGGTGGGAATCTTCTGAAAGCCAGCCAAACGCCAAACGCCAAACGGGGGGGGGGGGGGGGACGGCAAGTGGTGGCAAAAGAACTCACCACTTCGGGGACTACCAAACCCAAAGCACAGGGCCTCCAGGCACAGCGGCAGCTGGCGGAGAACCAATTGCCAGAATCGGCCCTGATCCGATCCGAAGCGCGCGGGTGCGAAGGCTCGGATCCCAAGCGCACAAAAATAAAAATAAAAAAAAAACGGGAGATCTCGACACATGGGTGTGGGTCAAAATTGAACCACACCGATATGGACCGCCTGTTTTAGTCATGGGCAAGCCATTTACCAGGGCAAGCCATTTTGGGTACCTATTTTTGACCCACAGCCACATGAAAGCAGCAACAAAAACATGCAGCCCGTGCCTGGAGCACCAGCTGCCGCCATTCCTTGGTGGGAGGGCCAGCCAGGGGCATATGGTTGGCTTGGGCAAGTGGAAAAGCTGGACCTGGCTGAAAGGTAGGCTTCATATTGGTCTTGGGCTCCTGGTTTTCATGCATCCCCAAAAGCCGCCATCAACTCATGCATGGGTTCGTCTATGAAAAGATGTCGATGCTTTACTGGGTTTGACATCGGACACAAACCAGGCTCCCAAAAGGAGCTGGTTTGATAGACGAATGAAACTGTGTGCTCAAAGGCATTCTTACGTAGGTATGGGCATAAGTGCTCTACAATCATTTGCTGAATCTCGGATTGACAACTTGGATGCACTGAATGAGACTCTGTGTGGATTCGGGTGCATACATGCACGAGCATGTTAAGATGAATTGTTTTCGGGCAAAATAATTCCTAGCTGAAATAATATCTTCCCCCTATTAATAAATACGCCCCCCCTCCCCTATTATAAATAAATCCTCCCAAAAATATATTTATTTTTAATTGGGGTTTTTGGGGTTGCGTTTTTTTGCTTTTCCAACAATGTGAGGGTTCACATAGGATTTGGAGGAAATGGATTGAATTGTAAGCTCCGCGAGTAAGCGGTTTAATAAGGAAAATTTATGTATCATTCTATTTGTTTTTCAGTTTACTGGTTGTTTGTTTGCAGCCAGGCAGGTTAGCCAGCATGTACGGGGGAGAGACAGTTGCAGCTTAAAAGTGGGGCTGGAAGCTTGCTAAAAGTGCCCCCTAATAAGGATTCCAAGACTTTAGTATTGGTTTAGTATTGGCGCAATGGAAAAACAATTGTGCGGAGTGGAAATCTGGTCTCGGGCCCCGGATTTGCATTTATTATTAATGGGGGTCATCCATTAATAGGGGGAGGAGATTATATAAGGAACACTCCTTCATGGGTGAGCTCGCTTTACCCGCGATCGCTGAGCTAGCTATAACCTGCCCGGATTGGATTTCGTGCCGATGTCTCTTTGGAATGTGCTTGTGTTTGTGCTTGTGTTTGTGCTTGTGATTGTTGTGGTTGTTGTGGTTGTTGTGGTTGCAGTTGTGGTTGTGGTTGCAGTTTTGATTGTCGTTGCAGGTGTTGTTGTTGTTGTTGCTGCTGCTGTTGTTGTTGCTGCTGCTGTTGTTGCTGCTGCTGCTGCTGCTGCTGCTGTTGTTGTTGCTGTTGCTGTTGCTGCTGCTGTTGTTGTTTGATTGTTTGTTTGTCTGTGTTTGTTTGTTTGTTTGTTTGTTTCCTTGCTTGTTTGTTTGTTTGTTTGTTTGTTTGTTTGTTTGTTTGTGTGTTTGTGTGTTTGTTTGTGTGTGTTTGTTTGTTTGTGTGTTTGTTTGTTTGTTTGGTTGTTTGGTTGCTTGGTTGTTTGTTTGATTGTTTGTTTGTTTGTTTGGTTGTTTGGTTGCTTGGTTGTTTGTTTGATTGTTTGTTTGGTTGTTTGGTTGTTTGGTTGTTTGGCTTTTTGGTTTTTTGGTTTTTTGGTTTTTTTGGTTTGTTGGTTGTTTGGTTGTTTGGTTGTTTGATGGTTTGGTCGTTTGGTTGTTTGGTTGTTTGTTTGTTGTTGTTTTTTTGGTTGTTGTTGTTGTTGTTGTTGTTGTTGTTGTTGTTGTTGTTGTTGTTGTTGTTGTTGTTGTTGTTGTTGTTGTTGTTGGCGGTGGTGGTGGTGGTGGTGTTGGTGTTGGTGTTGGTGTTGGTGTTGGTGTTGTTCTTGTTGTTGTTGTTGTTGTTGTTGTTGTTGTTGTTGTTGTTGTTGTTGTTGTTGTTGTTGTTGTTGTTGTTGTTGTTGTTGTTGTTGTTATGGTTGTTGTTGTTGTTGTTGTGGTTGTGGTTGTGGTTGTGGTTGTTGTTGATGATGGTGGTAGTGGTGGTGTGGTGGTGGTGATGGGTCGTTGTGACTGTTGGCGTTGTCACTGTTGGCGTTGTCACTGCTTGCGTTGTCGGCGTGGCATCTGCTGGCATCTGTGGAAGGCTTGGTGTCTATGGTCATTGCCCGCATCCTTCAGTCCAATACCATGAGCTCTCTCACACCCAGAGATTCCCAGCATCATGTGCTCCAGCCCATTCAGCCCGTAAAACCAGTGTCATCTGGATCTCGCAACAAGTAACAGGGATCCTTACGTTATACACCTGAACATTGCCTTGTAAATGGAGGTTTCCCTTTATTTTGGTGGAAAAATGAAAAACAACACGTTTCAAATGGCCAAAATGTATCTTGTAAGGAGCCCTGAGTAAGAGGAAGTCCCGAAATTCCCGAACCGATGCAGTTTTAGGCTGAGAGGCGCAGCTGACTGCTTCGGCAAGACCCAGAGCCTGCCAGTTGAGGAAGCCCAACGCTCCGTGGAAGGCCTCGAAGCTCTGTTTGGCTTCCCAGATACCCAGGAAAAAAACGATTGGTAGATACCTCCTCTGGCTATACCTACATCTGAACAAACCCATGGTCGACGTTAAAATACCCCTTGAACCCCTGAATTAGTGATTTGAGGGGAGTGGACACCGTCTTAGAAGCGAGCTGGCGCCATCATGGAACAAGCGTTTGTTGTGTCTAGAACTGGGCGCTAAAACGGAGGATTTGGAGAAAACTGAATCAATTGCCATGTCCTCTTTCTTTGTTTTTGCAACGTGGGACTCTGCGGACAGATTTAGCACCCAGAGAAGCCATGTAGCGTCCCTTGATATTGCTAGATAGCACACAGGAACACCTGCAATGATCATTCCTTTGACATGCCCGTGTAAAACAGATCACAGCATGGGTCGTGCACCCGATGAGATTCAGAATCTTGAAATTATGCAACCTCCAGTGCTGATATTGCCCAAGCACCACATTTAAGCGTTTTTGCGTTCGGCTTTGCGGTCAGGCTCCATCCAGCTTCAGCAATGAGTTTTTGGAATAAAGGCGCACCACGTGGGCTCAGCGTCCAAAGCAAGCCACTACAGTATATGCATATCTGTATGGATACAGGCAAACAAATATAAGAATGATAATAACAAACACTAACACCACACATACGTCAATACCCCCTCTCTCCCCCTCCTCCTGCCAATATGCATGGTATGTATGCTGCAGGCCTGCTTGCATGCTGTCAATTCATTGCAGCGATTGTGTCTTTTTGATTTGGCATGTTACTGCATCCAAACTGTTACGCTGCAAATGTTGACGAAACACTTTTGTAAGCCGGCATGGTCTAAAGGGTCTGCAACGCCACAGTGAGTCATAGCGTTGTCTTTGCATTGGGGGCTTACGCCTTGCATCCAACTAGATTGCAATGTCAACGTTTTTGGGTTGAGGCCTTGTTGTTGACTGCCAACATAAACACGTCCCCTGTGATTGGGGGAGGAGCCTCGGGGGTAGAAACACACGGATGTCCTTTGAGTTGCGAGAAAAGCAACAGCGTGTCCAGGCGCTTTGCGAGACTTTCAACACCCAAAGCAAGGCTGCGAGACTTCACTTTGGAAAAAACTGGCTCTGTGCCACCCTGGAAAACAAAAGCAGACCTGTGATACAACAAGGACTTCCCAATGCCGAATTCTTTGCAAGAGGTGTCTGGTATCACAAATCTGGGGAAATGGACATGGTTGTGTTTTTGTTGCAGGGAACCCTTTGAGGGTTGGTTCAAAGGGAAGCCAAAAGGAGAGTCTGAGGCTGCGGCATCTGTCTCTGCCATGAGCAGGGGCAAATTCCCCCCTCCCTTGCAGACTCTGCCCAGCTCTGTAAACAAATGTGAGGCTGGCAAGCACTGAAGGACTCTAAACAAATGGGCAGAATCATTGAAACGGACAGGTTAAGTTCTCATCCATGTTCGAAGTCTTCAAAAATAAGCACATGGTCACGTGATCATTCTCTCCGGACGGAAAGCTTAGGTAGATTGATACCGCTCTAGCTTCTCCCGATCCTGTGTGGATTGGCCAGAACAAGTCTGAACTTTCTCAGTAGCTAACATGATCCCAAAAGGTCACCGTGCACTTTGATTCGACCATGGTTTAGTGCCTTGCGGCCCTTGGAGCCCGGCGGCGGCTGGATTCCAGTGAGACAACTGGGGATCTGTTGGCTCACCCGCGCGCACATCGAGTGCCAATGGTGGAGAACCGTCTGGCGAACGTGGCTGATCCCGCCTAAAAACGAAGGGGTTTGAGTCGTTCCCAAGTCGATTTGTCCAATCTTCCTCACAAAAAACAAACTCCTCGATTTGTCCATTCCTCCTCATTTTCCAATCTTCCTCCTATGGTTCCATCAATTCTGAACATGAACCTTGGCATCTCTCCAGTCACAGCTCATTCAGCGCCTCCAAGTGTCCACAGAGCGTCTGCAAGCGCTTGGACGGAGCCTGCGGCAAAAAAACCGAGGCTGCACTGCAAGCACGTTTGGCACGCCCCGGTTTGGGGGGGGCAAATTATCATGTCCGTATGGCCATGGGTCAAAACTCCGTACCCGCAGTGAACATCCCAATCCCAACTAAAATAGACTAAAACGGGTGGTGCACCTGCCCCAACATGGTACCATTGGTTTTGACCCACAGCCACATGGGTTTTGGGTTTTGTTTGAAAGAACCCCAAGCTGGGTTGCTCTACATGGAAGGGACAGTCGAAGCCAGGACATCAAGGCGCCGGACCGTGCACTAGCCCAAAACACCATAACTAGGCTATTCTGCGGCTTTTCCCGCAAAACCAGGGTCACTGGAACATCAACCTCTAAATCAATATGTTTCTCCAGCGGCTACTGCATGTTTTGCTTGAAGGAGTAAAACGTCACACATTCACGTCACAGGCTACGAGCAAGAAGAGAAAATGCTACAGTTTCATTGGTTCAATGTCCCAATCGTTCGAGGTCATGCTGGGCAAAGTAGTTTGTCAGCTGACCACTTCGTGAACAGATTGATTTGGAACAGTTTGGATCAAGCATCCCATCATGTACAGTATCATAAAGGTGTCGGCAAACAGCAGATTGACTTAAAGCGGGTAGCTGACTTAAGCAGGTCGCGAATGACACACCTATATAGGCATTCTCATGTCCAGCTGTTCTTATTTTGTGCCGGACGTTAGAGGATTCGGTTCTACCTGGGTCTGAAAAACACCCACACAAATTTGTCCATCTTCTTCGGGTCTCTTTGGTCGAAAAAAAACACACATGAGCAGAGTTCTAAGTTCTAAACCTAGTTGCGGCCGAAAATAAATCTCAAAACGCTTGTTGAAACCGTTTTTTCCTCCCGAATACTACTTTCAAGTGCAGGGGTTTAGAACGTCGCTCACCTGGTCGACATTTCGCGTCCAGATTCGCTGGTGAGGTCCTGAGATCCTGAGGCCCTGGCCTCCCAGATCTGGCCAAGCACCGGATGAAGGCAGGCCGCCAGTGATTCCAGGCACCGCAGCACGCTGAGACCCAGCCTTCCCAACCAAATGAGAAGGCCAACGCAAAGACCATTTTGGGGTCCCCTATTTTAAGACACACGTTGGAAAAGGAGTGGCTTTGAAGATTTGGTGTGGCTGTTGAGAGCCAAGTTGGTGGACATCAAATTTACATGGGGATGAGTGTCTCAACCAGTGACCACAGCTTGGAGGCTTTCCCGATGAGGCTTTGGGTCTGTCTGAAACCTTCGGACGACTTTGAGGCATCTGGCAAGCAGTGGACTTGAAACTTCCCAGTCTTTGGACGCTGTTGGATGCTAAAAAGACCAAAGGGACAGTCATCTTTGAAGTTGGGCAGGTCCCCCAATTTTGAGCCGGGAAGTTGGGGGTGGCTCGTACAAGACTGGGCCCTGGAAACATCTTCGCACTGTTTTGAACACACAAAGCTATGATTGCTGAACATGCGAATCCTTGGACGGGAAGCTCTGTAAAAACTCTAAGCGCTTGAATGCAAGGCCATGAAGCAGCTCGGGCCCATTTCGCTTCTCACCAGGGCACGTAAAAGATGCCGTGCGGTGCTTCTGCGATCTTTGGATCCTACACAGTTGGGGGGGCAACATGCTTCCAGTAGTCGCAAAAGGACTCCCTGGAGTGACCAGGTATTGGACAGGCTTCCAGCGCTATCGCTGAGAAGAAGGAGAAGGAGAAGAAGCAGAAGAAGAAGGAGCAGAAGAGAAAGTAGAACAAGCAAACTTCATGAATCGTCGATTCATATCATGCATGGCAAGATTGCAAGGCAGCACCCAAATCCATCAGTACTCTGATAAACGCTCCGTTCCATCAATGTTCTGTTCCAAAAACGCGAAGACTTGCACGAGCGGATCCAAGGGAATCAACCATAAGTGTGATGCTCAGTTGCCGGCGATTGTTCCCAAGCACGGGGGCCCAAGATTTCGAGCAATGCAAGAAATCCAGCGAGCAAATGCCTACCAAGACACAACAGGGTGCCGTGCAGATGAGCTTGTTCTCCCAACCCACACTGGATGAGATAAGAGAGACAGCAGCAAACAACCACTCAACTGGTCACAAGAACAAGCCAAATGCATATTGGGGTTGTGCGTTGTGCTCTTCATCAACGGATGACTGGAATTCTCTTCAGAACCTTGCAAGGTGTTGGTTACGGTCGGGCTTGAACCCACCCCTGCCAAGCAGCCCAGGTGGCTCAGTGGGTGAGTGCCTCAGCCGACAGAAAATACGTGCGCGATGGTCACAAAGGAATGGTCCTGGATCCTTCAAACAAGGTCAAACAGCCAGTGAGCTGCTGTTCCTGGCTCGTGTCAAAAATAGGAGCACTGTTGAGGATGGAGTAAAAGGGAAACCAATCTGATTCACAAACGATGTGGCAGGTGAAAATGCTGACTTGTTTTGCCTCACGGGTCGGGAGAGCCACATTCAACATCCCATTGGGACCTTTGGTACATGTACACCTCAGTCACTCAAATTTTAGGCAGCATGTGAATGATATGTGAGTTTCGTCGCCCACACAATTGATCAGGTGTTGTGCGTAAACTATTGTTTTGCCCTGGTATCATTCGCTGTCAACCAGCTGTAGAACACATGCTATTGGCTCTACAAATCGCGTCTGCGATCTAGTCTTTTTCCGAAAAACACAGGACGCCTTTGGAAGTGCAGAACCCCTATTTAAGGGGTCCCCGTGAACATGTCAAGTGGTAAACTCTGGTCGTTCACCAGAAAGTCCTCATCCAAGCAGCGCGCGAGCAGGATGCATCTTTTTGCTGCGGTCTTTTCCCCCCTGGACTGTCCGGCTCGAGAGGGGGGCAGTAGAAATTGAGTAAGCACTGCTGGCAAAAATGGCCGCTGCTTCAATGGGTCAAAGTCTTCGTCACTCAGGCGAACAATACTCATAGTTGCTGCAGCTGGATTCTTGCAACAGCCAACGCAGGGTTCCTTTTCACTTTGTGTGCCCCAAAGGCTTTCAAGCCGCCTGTCCCTGCAGCTTCGCTGGCAAAGGGATGATAAGCATATGCAAAACCTTTCCGCAAGCATGGAACCTGGCAAAAGGCCAAAGAACACTTTGGTGCAGAAGAGTAATTCACCAACCAAGCATGCACGAGCCCCAGGCTCAACCCCGCTGTTGCTCTAGGAAGCTTCCTGGTCCCACGCTCTGTGGAAGGAAACTTCCGGCCCTGCGTTTCACGCCCGGGCACCTGATAATTTAGCTCTTCTGCGTCAACTGAACAACGCCTGAGCCAAAAACCATACTTGCCAGCATGCCACCCTGCCGCTACAAGCTCAGTTGCAGATCACAGCTCCTTCTGTGCGCTGCATGACTGTAAAGCAGCGCGCACCTGGCAACTTGCAACCCCCTGCCTCATGATGCACGGCATCTGTAGTCATCCACAAAGGGATGCACGACGATCGCTCGCTCCATGGTCGATTGAAACACAGCACAGTCGCACATGTAGCAAGCAATTCAAAAGGCTTCCTGAGAGTGACAACACAATCTCCAACATTTCCGCACACCCTCGCGGAAGACCTTCGCAAACCATACTGCCGATGAAGGAGTGGGTTGTCGCTCTCAACGGGGCTCCCACCTTGCCGACCCGCATCTCTGCCTCGGCCAATGGTTCCAACTCGCAAGTTTGGACGCGGAGGAAGTTGGGGGTCAGCCCATCACGCACCGCCGACGCTGCGCGCGCCGCTTTCGGAAATCTGAGCCTGGCGCTCCAGGCGGAGAATTCTTGATCTTGCCGGCCACGAAAGTGGAGTGTGCACCCCAGTTGAGCACATCTCCCTTCCTTGGAACGAGAGCCTACTCTTTTGGGGGGTCGGCTTTTCCGACAAGACCATCTGCCCATGTCTTTGCCATCCTCGCTGAAATAAAAGAAGATTCGCCATCCATTTCCAAGTTACGAACTCGACGGGCAAATGCTCCACCGTTCAGAAACCTTGCAACAGGTTGCCCATAGCTTTGGAAAGCGCAGAAGAAGGTACCAGCCCAAACCACCAAGCACAACAACAGCCTCTCTTCAAATTGGGCAGCTGTCAGAAGGCACCTCCTTAGATACCCGTTAGAAGTGGGCAAGCGAAAGGGTAAACGATCTCACAACAAGAAAGACTCTGATCTGTCTGACGCCCTGCATGTTGAGGATCCGCCTATCCGCCAGGCTCCCTGATGCGATCATTCTTTCCTTGAGCAATTAGGAGCGTTGTGTTGGTTCCCAGTAAAAAGACATGGCCCAACAGAGTGGAGCGGAAACCAATCCAACAGCGTTCGCCAATCCGGGGTTTGCTAAGTTGGGCTTAAAGCAAAGGCCGAACTGCTGCCAAGATTGCCAAGCGGCTGCAGGTCGATCACAGACACCGTTTGCATGGTTGCGGCATCGACGATCGCCAATGCGCCATGACCGCCCTCGATTGCCTGCGCCGACAAAACTGCAGCGCAGGGGAATGTGCCAAGTTCAGTGACCCTTGTCTGGCTAGGTGAAACGGTGTTGGAATGCCGGCGAGTCAAAGTGTGTGTGTGTGTGTGTGTGACATGTGTGTGTGACATGTGTGTGTGTGTGTGTGTGTGTGTGTGTGTGTGTGTGTGTGTGTGTGTGTGGGAGCGTGTGTGCGTGCGTGCGTGCGTGCGTGCGTGCGTGCTTTCCTGCGTGTGTGTGTACGATGTTTTATTGCGTGTGCGTGTGTGTGTGTGAACCGTCCTGGAGCACGGACGCAAAACTTTAAGCAGCAGGGGGGCAGTGGACCGCCATCACTCACTGCCCAACGAAGACAGTGATGGTTTGGTCGTGAAATCCGGAAGGGACGCCTTCTGGACGTACCTGCAATTTGAGAAAGTCGCGATGTTCTGAACGTCCTTTTGGTCCCTCTTTCCTGATTCCTTTTGCGGTTTCTGTTTGTCGCTGTTGCTTCCTGTTCGGTGTCGATGTTGTGACCTGTTGATTTGCATTTGCATTCAAGCATTTTTACTGACTGCGTTTTTCATCTCGGCTAGTGAAGCCTCTCGAGATAAGTGCGTTTACCCACGGCCTGTCCGACATGGCGCTGTGGGCTGGACTCGCCACATGCGGGAGCCCCCTGCGAGGGGAAGACCGTTCATTCGTTCAAATTCAAGCCGCAGTTCAGCGCGATTGACCATGGTCAAGGCAGCAATTTTGCAGGTGAGGTACCGCTATTCGCATTGCTTGTTGCACCTGTCGCATTGCCTGCACCTTGAGCAAGGCAGCAACCATGAGGTTTCGGCTAGGCTGCCGCATGTGCAAGGGACAGGTCGGTCAAACACCGACTTTGCAGTTCATCGGTTTACGCTCTGCACTGACTCTGATCAGTTCAATTCACTTTCACGTTCAAGCGACACCTGCATTGACATGAGTCGGACCGACAAGGCAGCTTTTTTGCAGGCACAGGTCATGTGTGAATCAGTTGCTAAATCGCGCCTGCCCATGCCGCAGTTGCCCTTTATTGTTTCCACCCCTCTCTTTCCAACCCTCTCTCTTCCTTGCGAGATGGCTGGACACCAGCTAAGTGAGCTCGCCCCACTCGGGGCCTTGTGTGTGTGAACCGTCCTGGAGCACGGACGCAAAACTTTAAGCAGCAGGGGGGCAGTGGACCGCCATCACTCACTGCCCAACGAAGACAGTGATGGTTTGGTCGTGAAATCCGGAAGGGACGCCTTCTGGACGTACCTGCAATTTGAGAAAGTCGTGATGTTCTGAACGTCCTTTTGGTCCCTCTTTCCTGATTCCTTTTGCGGTTTCTGTTTGTCGCTGTTGCTTCCTGTTCGGTGTCGATGTTGTGACCTGTTGATTTGCATTTGCATTCAAGCATTTTTACTGACTGCGTTTTTCATCTCGGCTAGTGAACGCGCGCGTGTGTGTGTGTGTGTGTGTGTGTGTGTGTGTGTGTGTGTGTGTGTGTGTGTGTGTGTGTGTGTGTGTGTGAGTGTCTGTGTGTGTGTGTGTTTGCCTCTGCCTGTGTCTATGCTTGTGTCTGTGTCTGTCTGTGTTTGTGTCCGTGCTTTGGGCGGCAAGGGGGGCGCGCAGGCGTGCGTGTGCATGTACACACGCGCGGGGGTGCAGGTGCAGGTGCGGGGATAGGTGGGTGCGCGTTTGCGTGCGTGCCTGTTTGCCTGTGTGCGTCTGCGTTTGTGCTTGCGTTTGTGTGTTTGTGTTTGTTTGTTTGTTTGTCTGTCTGTGTGTTTGCTTGTTCGTTCGATTGTCTACTCTTTTGCTTGCAGCTTCCTTCTTGCTTGCCTGCTTGGCGTGGCTTGGCTTTGTTTGCTTGTGTGTCTTTTTGCTTGCTTGTTTGCTTGTTTGCGTTTCTGTGTCTTTCTTTGCGTGGTTGCGCGTGTTTGCGTGTTTGGGCTTTTGCGAGCACGGATCTTACATGTACACGTATGCCATGTATTAATATATATATATACATTTATTTATCCACATACCTCAGCCTATCTGTGCATCCAGCCTGCAGGGGCGCCAGCAGCCAACCCTCATCCTCCTTGGTGCCCCTGGGCGCAAAGGAGGCCTGGGCCTCAGTTGTTCAGACACATTCAGACACTTCACGGGCCATGAGAGTGGCACTCTTTTCGCTCCAAAAATGGTGGGACGAAGAATGTTCCACTAAATGGCCCGAAGAATGGAATGTTCCACTAAGAGTGCGCATTGTGGGATGGAGGATTCCAAACTAGCCCCTCCAGGTGCCAGGTCTGGAGTTAAAACTCTGAGGCAACATAAGCCTTGCGCGGTCTCGAGATGGCGTCGTGTTTCCTGAAGCATGGGCAGTGTTACTCTGATCTGTGGCAGGCATGTGCATATTGGGAGGGCTAAGCAAGTGGGAAGAAATACATAATGGCCCTTCCTCTCCCTCGTCTATAATTGACTTGTTGGCGGAGGAATAAATAGAGAGATGAGAAGAGAGTGAGTGGTGGAAGGGAATGACCTCCATCTTGTAATTGTAGCTCTTGACGTCTATTTCTACATCATATCATGAGTGGTCTTTCCTCTCTTACCCGTTTCCCCTTCTCCCTTGTGAATAATTCTAGGAAATAGAGAGGAGAGGCATGAAGGGAGGAGATTGCACAGACCAAACGGAGAGACTGTTCACATCCAACTATTTCCTTCTCTTGCAAATGCAGTAGACTGGAGAAGGAAATAGTGATGAAGGGAAGAGACAAATGATGGCAAAGAAGATGAGCCGACGGGAAGGTGCCATCAT